TGATCTCAAGCGAGGAGCCTTATCTAGGAGATACAGGGGGGACCAGGCAGCTTTTAAGCAGCGTGTAAAGCTGTGTTGGAGAGGCAGCCCCCGCAGGGCACCTCAGGCCTTGTGTGGCACCCTGGGAGGTGCTGGAGCTCAGCACAAAGCGTCTAACAGATGGTCCAGGCAGCAAGGCTGTGAAATATCACAGGGCCACCCCTAAACTCCTAAGCCCTAAATCAGAGAGGCCCCGTCTGCCCATTGCTCCTGCATGTTGTACTTGGGTTGAGCCTCTCCATGCCTGCATTTGGAAGTGTTGTCTGAAATTAAATTTGCCTAGAAACCAGAGATACCACTGTGGTTAGGGAAAGTATGGTCTATTTATTTCAGGTGTTTGGGGAAAATTTCCAAAATATAAATTAGTTTACCACTTGGTGGTAGGATGTTGGTACTTTTTATTTTTTAATCTTCACTTTTTAAAACAGTATGTCCAGATTATTTCCAAGCTACTGGATTCCATGTACTTGGATGCATTTAGGAGAAAGGCCTGAGGATGGCAATTGAATCCCGGGTCTTGCAGATTCTAGATAAGTACTCTACCACTGAGTGATAGTCCCAGACCTTTATTTATTTATTTTGTTTTGAGATCAGGCTCACTAAGTTGCCCAGGTTGGTCAAAAACTTTCAGTCCTCCTGCCTCAGCTTTCCAGAGTGCTAGGATTTTAGGTGTGAACCTCCAGGTACAGCTAGTGAGATATTTTTGAACTAAGAGAAATGGAGAATCTTTAGGAAGCCACAAAAAGTGTCACTTTATCTTGTATCTTCCTATCAAAAAAGAGCCTACACATCTCTAATCAATTGATTTCTTTTACCTTAAAGAAAGTTGAATCTGGACTCTATGTCACTTTTGGAAAATCTAATGAGAATAAAAATAAACCCTAGGGAAGATCTAGCTTTGTTCTCCTGCCTGTTTCTCCCTATCTGCTGTCTCACTTGCTCTGTGGTGGGCTGCGTTGTCAAGGGGAAGACAACCGTGCTGCTTGAAGTCACGAGTCCCACGGCCACTTTGTGTTTGTGTGGGACAGATGGCCGTGGTTGTGTTTGTCACCCGATGCAGAGTTTGCAAATAAAAGCAAAATTTTGCCAAGTGCTCACGTGTGTGAACCAAATTGTTTGCAAACAAAAGAATTTGTGAACCAAGGCACTGCTGTGGTTGGAGTCACACAGGTGAGAGAGACAGACACCGATTTGGGATAGACACACAGGTGTGGTTGGAACATATGGGGAATGTTTACATAAAAATTTTAAAATTAATTATAGTGAAAGACACATTGTCAACCATCCCCCCAGGCTCTGTTGTTCTTTCCACTTCCTGAAGCAGTGGCTGAGTCCTCTTTCTAGTCTTTTTGTGACTGCTTCAATGTCCTGAACCAATTCAAAACTTTTACAGCATTTTTGGGCAAATACAAACCTCACTGTGTGTTCTCTCGCACCTTATTCATAGTGTGACTCCTGGTTCTTTCCCCAAACTAGGTGAAAATTCTGAATCACATCAGGACACGAGGCAGCCCAAACAGCACAACTGCACACGCTCAGGAGAGAGGACCGCAGAACTGCGTCCGCAAGTGCCCAGAACGGCGGGATAAGCATGTTCAAAGCGAAAGGGAGTATTTTGAAGAGGATTCATGGCAATGTGTTTTTTACTGTAATAGAATACTTCAGTTTAAACATTCACTGGGGTTGTTGATCGCACGTAGTAACTATGGCCTTAGACGTAGATGGTCGTGTTCTGTTTCTTTATACTGTCTGCCCTCGCACTAGCTTCCTTCCACAAGGGCCTCATGGTCATGATAGACGAATGAGGTGGAGCACAGCAGACCGGAGGGGCACAAATTCATGAAGAATCACAGAGTGAACCAAACCAGTCTTTCTCTGACTGTGACCCAGTAGGGGAGGAAATGGCGAGGGGAGGGGCAGCGGACAGGTGCAGTGTGGTTTCTCACCAATGAAAACTTCGTGGAAAAGCAGCTTTTCCCAAATATTGGAAGAGAAGATTTGCAAACGATTTTGAAAGACCCGTGCCCTTGCTGCGTTGCTTTGGGGCCACTATGGCTTAGAAGAGGGCCCATGGGTCTCCTCATGAGATTGGCTTTACTCTTGGACCTGCCAGTCCTATCCATGGGTGGCTTCCTCTCTTGGGTTGACGGCCATTTGAGTGGGATTTACAGACATCTGCAGCCCAGGTAGCATGGATTGGCGCAGAGATGTTGGCAGGTTCCACTGCTGTGCTCACCACGGGGAAGAAGCCGGGTGGAGAGTGGGCAGTCCTTCGGGCAGTGCGGCTCAACCACTGGGGCTCACTTTTCACAGAAAGATGGGCAGCTGTGAAGAAGCCCTAAACGGCAGGCCAGGCAGGGGACCCAGGATGTCGAGCTGGGGCCAGCAGAGTGTCCAGTCCTCTCCTTGCTGGGTCAGACAGAAATAACCGAGGGACCTGAGCTGCCCAGCGTGAGTAACAGACCTGGCTCAAACCCAGACTCAGACACCCAACCACGCCCAAATACCAAGGAGTAACTCCCCCTAACCAGACCACCAAGGCCTGGCTCTTACTCCATAACCCAGCCCTCGGTCTGTGGAAATGACTTGGACCAGTCCCTCCAGGATGTTAGAACCGAACTGCCAGTAAGTAATATAAGAATCCAGGAGAAAAAATCCACCCACCATTTTTGTAGAGTACATGTTTTCTTTTTGGAGAATGAATGAATCACGAAAAAGCTTCCATAACAGAGTAAAACAGAAAGAACACAGCCTCAAAATGCAACAGAAGAGGCATCGTAACAATAATTTATTAAAGGAAACACATGTTTCTTTTGGATAAAATTTCTTGGACTAGCTTAGGCTTTCTACCCACAGTGAGGCGGGCTTTCTTTCTTCTTTTTTTTTTGGTACTGAGGATCCAACTCGGGACCTTGCACTTGCAAGGCAGGTGCTGACACCACTGAGCTAAATCCCCCACCCTAGGCTGGCTTTCTGCAAAGCAGGAAGTAATTCTTACTGCTGAGGTGGCCAAGCATATTAGCTGCAAACATTGTTTTTGACCCTCATCTATTTTAGGAACTGAATGAATTAAGAAGAGAAAGCAAGGAAAAGAAAAAAGAGCTTCAAACAGTAAATACAACAAGAGTACTCAATTTTTCCTGTTTCTCCTGTGTGTTAATGAAGCTAAGAACTGAGATGTACGGAACTGTTCATTGTCTCTTGTACCATCTCCCTCAACCCCTCTCAACTCTCTACTCTTTTTTTCTTTTTGGTACCGGGGATCAAACTCAGGACCTTGCACTTGTGAGGCAGGGGGTGGAACCACTGAGCTAAATCCCTGGCCCCTCAACTGGCTGCTCTTTCACCAATATTCTTCTTTAAAGGCTCCACAATCTCTTCGTATTGATTCTTCTAAATACCTGGGTAGGGGTGGAGAGAGGTGGCTGGCTGCTCACCAACTAGCGCATGTAGGAAAGCAGTTATTACTTAGAAGAATCCTCTCCACAAGCTCAAGCATACTGTATAATTTATGGTTGACTCACAGGATTTTTTTAAGGGCAATTTTGATCAGAGATACTTCTTCTCTTTTATGCTGACTAATATATGATTCCATTTTACTAGAATGTACAAAAACTTCTGTGAAAGTATTATGAAATAAATGAAATGCTACCCCTGCCCTGCAGTGTGTTTTAGTCTAATAAACAAGGACATTTCCACAAGTGACTGGTGATTCAGAACCTTATGATCATTGTACATATAATCTTGGAAGCCATTGTTCATCAAGCTCCCATAATAATAAGTCAAACAACTCTCAGATTCTTTTGTGCCTATGGCTCCTTTGATTGTCCTAGGAGCACTAGGATATAAGCACTGTTGAGGCTTCTATTTCTGCAGGTGAGGAAACTGGCCCAGAAAAGTGAACTTTTGCCAAAAAGTCACACAGACAGTGAGCATCGGAGTCAAATCCAGACAGGTACAATCTATCAGCAGATGCGGGTCACAGGATGCCAACCACACACCCAGCAGACTGTGGCTGCTTCTCGGGATAGGGGAGGCTGTAGAACAGCACACAGGTGATCCTGCTCCACCAGGTAAAAGAAAAGGAGGTAAGGAGAGAAGCGTTCTCAGAGAGATCAGCCTGAGCTGGGGGAAGAAGGGAATGTCCGTGTAGGGTGGGCGTCAGCCAAGAGTTAATTTAAGTGGGATTTGGAAAGGCCTAGTCCAGAAAGAGTCAGCTCATTCCCAAGGCACCCTACAGAGTCCCGAGTGCCGGCAGGGAGCCTCAGGGTTAGGGACTGGGGTATGACACGGAGCAAGACAAACTCTGTCTTTTCTCTCCTGGCACTTATGCGCTACTTGGTGAGACAAACTGCAGATAAACCACCAAGAAGTGGCGGGGGAATGTGAGACAAAAGGGCTAAGGCCATGTCAGAGATCGTCACCCTGCGGGGTGCTGTACCCCCTGGGGACCTCTATGGACCTTCTGCCCATAACCGCTGCTGTATTCCTCAGCTTTCCCATTTCTGGAACACAGTGACCCACGCTTGTAATTAATGAAGGAGAAGTTCAGCTTGTTTCACGGTTTCAGATCATTTGGTCCCTCATCAGCAGACCCCAAGGCAGAAACATCATGGAGGAAGAGCATAGCAGAGCAAAGCTGCAGGGGGACAGTGCCAGAGAGGAGGGTGAGGGACGCGACATCGAACTCTGACATCAGGATACTGTCTGGCTGAGTAGGATTTAAGGTAAGATCTTTATGAAAAAAGAATGCTCGGACTCATTTACAATTCCTCAGCTACCGATTTCTCTACCAATCAACCTACTTCCACAGGGACTAGATGTAGTCACACCTCTGTGACACACCCAGAAGTGTGCTCCACCCATGCCCTGGGGAGCTCCTACACCAACCAATCAGACACAATCCAGTTAAACATCACAGCTGGAAACCTTCACCCTGGCTCTGCAAGGCCAGTTTCCCTTGGCATTGGAGTCTGTGCAGGAAAATGTCATCTCCTCAGAGAGGTCTCGTCTGAAGGCTCCAATACAGGTTTTGTATCATTGAGTGCATGGAGAGAGGGCAGCAGGCTGGGAGTGTAAGGAGGCGGGTGTGGGAAAGGACCAGGAGCAGGAGCAGTCCCAGGGGCCTGGCCAGCCCTTCTGGGCATGCTGGACTTCAGGAGAGAAAGTTACTGGAAGGTTTTAAGCACAAGAATAATATTCTTTGTCTTATGTATTAAATTAACCTCCTTACTTGCAGTAGAGAATAGGTTATGGGAATATTTTTAGGTAAAAGTATGGTATGTAGATATGGACATACATCTCTATTTTTCCAAGGTAGACATGTATGTGGTTGGCATTTTCATAGCATTGAGAGACATGTGAGTGACTTGCCCTGAATTCAGGCAATGATGGACATTCCTCTGTATTCATCTTCTCCTGCTATCGGAGCCAGTTGGTATCAGCGAGCTGCTGCAGTGGATGGGGCTTGAAACGCTAATATCTCCATAATATCAAGGCACTAATCAGATTAGTGGAACTTCAGGTAACATCTTTATGCATGAGGGATTCTCCTGGGCTATCAATTTCCCTACCAATCAACCTACTTCGGCAGAGGAGAATGAAGTGTCCAGAAGCTAATATTTGAAGTTGTGAATCAGCACAGTTACTAGATTCACAGTCAAATTTTACTTGAAAAGATTTATTTTGGTTCAAAAACTTTTGTTTATTCTGTTAACCATTTGGGGTCATAATTGGGTTTATAACGAGGAAAGCAAAAAACTTTAATAGGTAGACAGATTCAGATTAAGATACAGATGTAGAATAGATTTAAGGTAGATGTGGATGTCAATATTTATGGAAAATACAGATATGGACATAGGTATAGGAGAAATATTGACTAGATAGAGTTCTGGGTGTAGAAGACAGGTGGATAGATGATAAACAGCCAGGTGCTAGACAGACAGGTAAGTTAGGCGATAGACATTGCTGTAGTTACAGAGATTAATGCACAGATGTAGACAAAGTATAGGTGGGGAGTTTAGATTTGGATGTAGATATGGATATAAAGGATGGATAGATGCATGGATACTAGACAGACAGGTCTGATGTAGAATAGGTAAAAATACAGACAGATTTATGCACTCTGTGTAACTCTAACTCGGTCATTAATCTGCCCTTTTATCTGTCTGAATATCCCTAGCACTAGAATATATGTGCCCTGGAAATGGGAAAATGATAAATTATCAGTTACAATGATCAATTTCCAGGATTCTCAAAGTGTTGCAACATTAGTAATCTGTGTTTGTCATTAAATTAAGAGATGAAAATTAGCATTAAAGATTGAGGAACTTCATCAGCCAAGCTGGGAAAGAATACTCCATGGGACTCTTTAGTTACTTCCCGGTCCCAGACGATTTCCAGGGTCAGGAATTGATATCTAATCTCTGTCAGGAGGAGCATATCCTGTTAATTCATGTTGAAACCGGTAGAGAACACTCCCTGGCACATGAGCATCGCAGGCTTTGTTCTTCGGAGAGATGTGCCCTCAGCTCATGTACCATGAGCTCTTTAAGCATTCCTAGCATTTGACAAATTCTTTTGCAGATGTTTTCTGAGATGTGTCTGTGATGCTGGGCCATCACCTGCTTGGCTACCTTAAATGTCACCAGGAGAAAACATGCCTTTCTAACAGGTACCCAAATGTTCATCCTTGAGGTGACTGTGTTAGAACCACAAAAGTGTGTGTTTTGGAAGCATAACCATACTTATTCAGTTCGGATCTTTTTGGAAAATGTAACGACTCACTGGTCCTCTGTATTAACCTTGTGGGAATACCCTCTGTCTGATGTCAGAAGGTTCCAAAGGTAGAAATGGGGCGGAAGATTTGAGTGGGAACTTGGATTAAGAAAATACAAACTCCCATGCAGACAGCACTGTCGGCAATGCTACGGGGGAGCTCAACCCAGGGTGTGTTGGGGAGCAAGTGCCATGCTCTGGAGGCCAGAAGGTATTAAGAGAAATGTTAATATTTTAGAAGATACTTATGTAAGTACGTGTGCTTACTTTTTACTATTGATTAGATAGAATTATGGAAAGCATCATTGATATTTGTGATTTCATCTTTGCTAATGCAGACACTGACGCTTAGGGAGGAAAGACCTGGCTCAAATGAGGCAGACACTAAGAGGTGGAGAGAAACAACCTCACCCTGTGCCCGAGGGCAGTGTGGTCTCATGCCCTGGCCAGTGCCTCCTGGTCATGTGGCAGGTGTGCTGTCGGCTTTGCACACTGAAAATGGGCTGTGGACTTTGAGAAAAGCAAGACCCCGAAGGCATGCATCCATTGCAAGATTCCAACATCAGGCTTTTATGCAAACTGCAAGACAGTCCTAATATTCCAGGCTTTAAAAAAACGAACATCTGAAGAAATAAATGAGTCTAAAATAAACTTTTTCCCCCAAGTCTTGGGTTATATCAAAATACTTTGATATTTATGTCAAAAATTAATTTGTATCTATGAGGACTTAGGATCTGGTGAGACTCTGAACTGGTAATAATGCAGGGCAATTGTGAGTCATTGTCTGTCATTGATCAGCAGTCTTTCTATTCACATTTGCATTACAAGTACTAAGTGCATTACTCTAAAGTGGTAGAATGCACTTTAGTCTATTTCTATAATACAATTTTTATACTTTTTGTAAGATAGTTTTACTTTTTAGGTTAACTGCATTTATATGACAGCTAATAAATTAGTTTTATTAGATGTGGTGTCTAGTCTGGAATCTAGTAGTTTCTTAATAAACGTGTGTGGTAGTTTATTCAATAGAAACTTATGCTTCTTCCGTGTGCTGAGAATTCTTATCAATGTTGGAGATTCAGAAGCAAAGTAAACCAACAAAGTTCCTAGGAGCTGATAACATGGCAGAAAGGAATATAAAAATCAATGAGTTTGTGTACTAATGCTGCATATCCCAGGTCATGGTGAATGTTAGGATGGATAAAGAATGAGTGTTATGGTGGATACAGAAGGCTTTGAGCCTCAGCTAGCTCAAACACAGCAGACTACTCTGGTAGGTCGCATTTGAATACAGATACAAAGGACATGCGGAAGAAAACCATGGGTTTTCAGGGTAAAATAGTTTTCTGCAAAACAAATGGCAAATGAAAAACTCTGAGGTAGCAGTGTGTGTGGTGTGTTTTGAGGAACAGCTTGGAGGCTAAGGAAAGAGAGGAAGGAAAAAGGAAGGGAGGAAGGGTGAGCAGAAGGAGGGAGAAAGGGAGAGAGAAAATAGCTTATTAGAACCTTGTGCATAGGTGTGGGTGCTGGGAGCCCTTCTTCAGGAGTAAGGAGGGAGAGCATGGAATGTCTGAAAAAATCTTTACTCCGTATTTTGGGAATAGTTTACCCTTTGGATCTTTGAATGCCATCACTTAGCATACAGTGATTGTAATCACTGAAAAACTCAACTAACCCATCACTTAATGACTTACATGAGAGTTACAGTTATTAGATACATAACAGTAAATAAAAGTTAGGCTGATCCAAGTTTTGGCCATGAACCATTGATGTCTTCAAGAAACTAGATTCTCCCTCTTTCTAGTCCGTACCTCTCAAGATTCTAGATTCCTCTTATCTCCATTTATTACTTGCTTGCTGGCACCAGGCTGCATGAAGAAATGGAAAATAGATGTCACTCTCCTGATGGGCTTGTTTTAATTATGATTTATTGCTTCACATCTCCAGGCACTTACGTTGTGCCCACCAGGTACTTACACTGTCCCCAGTATTTTTCTAAGCACTTTACATATAATAAATCATTTATTGATTTATTGCACGGCAACTCCATAGGGTAGGAAACTATTAATGTCTCAATTTTGTAAGTGACAACTCTGAGACATAGACACGTTAAATAACTTGCTCCTGAGAGAAGGAAATAAGTGACACAGAAATGCTGTCCAGGCGAGCGTACTCGGAAGGATATCAACTCTGTTCAGAGCACAGTGCAGGGGCCACTGGGATATAATCATCACCATCTATTTCTTAATGGCCACAATTCTAAGACAATGTAACTACATCCAGCAGGAAACATGTTAATCCAAAGGAATACCATGTGAAAATCATAACATTCTCAATTAAAATTGCTGAAACGCTCTGGAAAATTGCTTAGCAGTGCTACAAAATCTGAATCTATACATCTGCTACAGTTTAGTAAATGTACTTCTAGACATTTACCAAGATGAATTAGCATGTTCACAAAAAGACATGCACTATGATGTTCACAGTAGGGTTCTTCCTAATCACCAGAAACTGGAAATTCCCCAGAGCCATCAAGCACACAAGGAATACATTGTTGTACTCTGTATGCAACATAGTAACATGACACAAAGAAATTTATCATCAACAGATACAGTCAATGAGATTGTGGGTGGGTCTCAAAGTTGATGTCCCATGAAAAAAGCTAACATGGAATAGGGCCCATGCAAGCACAAACTCAGCTGTAAGAAGCCAGACCAGAGTTCTGTTTTCAGGAAGGGTAGGATGTCTGGGAGGAAAAGACCCAAAGCAAGACAGAAGATGTGATGCCAATGAGCACCGCTTAGCCCGGGAGTCAGTGATGCGTGTGGGTTGACAGGAGGACACTTGCATGTGCTCTCCTGTATGTGTTGTTACAGTTCTCTAACTCTCTGAGAAAGGTCATTTACTTCCGCCTTTTGTTTCCTGCTCTTGCCATGGGCCTAAACCCACTTGTAGATTTTAGTCGAGTCTTTACAGAAGTAAAGTGAAAGGCAGTTGGGGCTGGATTCAAGCATATCAGTAATAAGATTGGGAATTGAGCTTCCTTTGAATTTCATCTTGAAATGGAATTTGAAGATCATGCTCCATCCTAACAAATTTTAATAATGATAAAAGGGTGGAAACTGGCTTGACTCTGTATATGGTTCTGATACTCACATGTAGACTATAGGTACCAGGAGCCAATCGGAAACAACTGCTAATCCCAAAGGCCAGGTCCTAAGATTCTTTCCAGCACCCTCTTACTGAGATGCCCCAAGATTCTTCACGAAACAGAATAATGAGCACAGCTTGTCCAACTTCCGTGTGTTCTTAGTGGCTTTCGACGGGAGCCTCCATACCATCCCACCTTAATTTTCCTGTCCATTGTATTCCCTTGTCATCACTTTTGCCTCCTCTATAATATTTGTTTCTCCTTCATTTTTAGTAATACTTCTCACAAGTGGGATTTTTATCATGGTGATAATGCAACTCTGTTTTTGGAATTAGACTCTTGGTATCACTAAGGTGATCTCAGATGGGCTAGAGAAGAGCCACTCTGCTGATGGGAAGGAGGGGAAGTTATCTTTGTCTCTCTAGCTCTCCGGGTGGATGGTGTCCAGGGGAGTCCACCCAGTCCAGTGGGAACTCGGGGCCTTTGTGTGCAGCAGAGGGTGGGGCTGTGTGTGAGCCAGCAGCCACTTGCTCTCCCTCGGGTGCTTCTGCACAGAACCTGCATCTTTATGTAGGTGCTGGGCCACAAGATACTGAGTCTCGAGCGGTGCTCACCAGTAACCGAGAGGCACACAGGAAAGGAGAACACCTCCTGTCAGTATCTGATGGTGCATCAACAGGTAGAGGATCAGGAGTGCAGAACCCCTGCAAGGCTTGGAAGCAGCCCCAGTGCTCATTAACTGGAGAGTGGACAAAGAAAATGTGGTTTTTTAAAAAATACAAAATGGAGTACTACTCAGCCAAGAGGAATGAGAAACTGGAGACATTTATAGCTAAGTGGATGCACATTGAGGCGATACTCTTAAGTGAAATAAGTAGGACACACATGTGTAAATACTGAGTAGTTTCTCTGGTGTGAGAAACTGAAAGTGTAAATAAGGACTGAAAGGTATAATAGGTAATGTTAAACAGGAAGAAAATGTCCAAAGGGGTAGGGGAAGTGGGAGGGGTAGGGGAAAGGAAAGAAGGGAAAGGAAAAAATATGAGAAAAGGAAATAAATGACAAAGTCTCTGTAAATAGGGAGGGGTGGAGGGGTTGAAGGGAGGGCAGGGAAAGGGGAAAAATAAGAACCAAGACGCATTATGTAAAGGTACAAGTTCCCAATGACGAATGTAACTGTACTGTATAGCTAAAATGTACCAATGAACTTAATGGGAAAAAAAGTAAATACACTGCAGTTCTTAGAACATTAGTACAGCCACTGGACCCACAATACCATTCTAGATAATATTTCTAAGATGTAATTGGATAAGCATTCAAAAATATGTCAGTAGATATTCACCTAAATCATGATTATATTGTCAGTTCATATGGAAGACTAAAATGAAAAAAAATTGGTACTTTAGAAAAAAATACTTGATATGGAAATATTTATGAACTAGTGGTAAATTTTCAATATTCAGGCTACTGTGAAGGACATGTACTGTTATTTAAAAGTACAAATTTGCCAAAATGAAACCCTTTGATCTGTGTAACCAATGTGTACTAATAAACTGTGGAAAAAATAAAAGTGCATGTATTTGTATAAGAATCACGAGGTTATGTATGAAAATATAATCACGTGGCAGTGGACTTCAGGTGATTTTATCTTTCTTAAAGAGGCAAAGGATCAAGAGAAGGGAAAGAGGATGAAAAAGGAATTAAAATGTATTAAGTACATATACCAGTTCCACAGAAGGATTGCAAATGTGTACCGCAGATATGTACTAGTAAAGAAAATGAGCTAAAAAAAGGAAAAATATATTTATAGTTTCCTAGAGTAGGTATTATGTTGGCAGTATTCAGAAAAGTACATGAGTTTTTTTCTTGTTGTTTTTCAAGAATGTAGTTGGAAAATATAAGCACTAGGTCTTAGTGATCTAGATCAGCATTGTTAATCAGTAACTTCGCAAGTTTGTATTTTTCTTCCATCTTCTAAAATAAATTCCTTTCCTAACCTAATTTGCTTGAGATAAATACTAGTGATTTCTGTCCACATTAACCACATTGCTATTTTAATATAGCTATGGGTAAAAATAATTTAACTAGCCAATATTTGACTAAGAAGATAAAGTATAATTATATTTCATTTGTCATTGTGATTATAAGTCAATGAAAGTGAGATGCTTTGAAAATTATAATTTTCTGGGTAACAGGAGAAGGGTCTGGGTTCATAGAGAAATTTTTATACTAATTTGTGTATGTTTGCCACTGAGTTCAGGCATCAAACTGAACTTACTGTGCCTTCTAATGGCCATTTGATCCCGGTAGGTGGTGATGAAAGTTGAAACCAGGGAAATAGAAATCATCTGGACTACTGGAGGAAACACACACACACACACACACACACACACACACACACACTTCACTGTCCATCATGTTGCACTTTTCAGTGGAAGGCATTTGAAAGTAATTATATTTGTGCTACAGTGAGACTAATTTGTACAGTGGCTCTAGCTACAC